TGCTTGTGCAGACAGGTAAGAAAGAGGGGACTTAATTTTATCCTATACAGCATGTTGTGCATTGTGCCCTGCTTCTCCAGATCATTGTGTAAAGCTCTCTTCTAAGTATGTGATTATTAAACCTGCTATTCTCAAAATAGGTGGCAATGAGCAGAAAAATGAGATTCACGAGAGATAGAACTATTGGACCTGGCCTATACTGCAGTTTTGCACGCATCCACGTTCACAGCTCCCTATGGTGGAAGAACCCTTTCTTTTTGCCAAAAAAGTAACAGCCACTCTGAAAGCAACAGAAGGTTTCTGCTGCCACACAGCAGCCAGTAAGAAGCACATGTAAATGTGCATGGGCTTTTTGCTAGCTGCCACGGTCCCTTTAACAGCTGATGCCTCCCAGGGTGTATGTGCACCCTGCCAACACAGCTGCTGTAGTGGACCATGCAGTTTCTGCAGGAGCTGTCAGAAGTTGCACAAGTAGAGACATGCTCTGATGGCTTTCTTTGGCAGCTGCTTCTAGAATGCTTCTGCCAGCAGAAGCATTGTAGTGCCGACAAATTCTCAGACGTTCCAATGAAAAGCAGTTTGGGAAATGGAGAGAAGAGTACATATGGAGATCAGCAAAAGTTATGAAATGGGAAAGAAAAGACATAAGCTATCTTAGTTCCTTCTTGAAAAATTCATTTGTCATTCATCAATCCACTAGGCAGCACTTATGCCTACTCTGCAGGATGAGGCCTACACAAATGCAAGGCAGATGAAACCTTATCTGAGGATATGCCTTCACTGCTGAATTAGAGGCATGCAGGTTATCTTAGTCCAGTTAAAAGCATCCCTGTAACAAAATCATACCTCAGTTACTAGGTCCTCACTGTTACTATACTTTTCCATGTGTGTTCCTAGGACTCGCTCGGGTGGGATGGGCTTCACCTTTCCCCCAAAGGTAAGTGTGTGTTCTCTTCTAGGTAGTGGCGGATCTCCTTTGGCGGGCTTTAAACTAGGCTCGTCGGGGGAAGGGGAAGATGAGAGCAGAGGAAGCCTTGGACCACTAAACCAAGCGGCACCCACAAGTACAGCCCAGCCTAGACCAACGAGCAGAACAAATACCCAGGTAAGCAACAGGGGCCAGGGCAATGCTGAGTTTAGGGGGCCAGTGCACACATCTACAGGAGGCCTCAAATGCCGCTACACAAACGCTCGTATGGGAAACAAGCAGGAGGAACTTGCCCTCCTGCTAGCTGACACCAACCCAGACATAGTGGAGCTCACAGAAACGTGGTGGGACCCAACGCAGGACTTGGCAGTGAATATCAAGGGCTATAGGCTGTACAGGAGGGACAGGACAGGGAGGAAAGGTGGGGGTGAGAATACATATCCTCATCAAGTAGCACAGGGTCAGAGGAGGGGCACACTGAAGTGCTCTTGTGTGGTGCCAGAGAACTGGAAGAGGGCCAACGTGGTTCCCATCTTCAGAAAAGGGAGGAAGGAGGACCCAGGGAACTATAGGCTAGTTAGTCTTACCTCAATCCTGGGTAAGCTTTTTGAGAGAATTATCCTGGCACAATGTCCATGAGGGACCAGCAGGGGAGGTTATGCTTAGGGGCAACCAACACGGGTTCATTAGAGGTAGGTCCTGTCAGGCCATACCCAGAGAGTGGTGGCGGACAGGTCATTTTCACCTTGGAGGGATGTGGGCAGTGGGGTCCCCCAGGGCTTGGTCCTCGGGCCCGCACTGTTCAACATCTTCATCAGTGACTTGGACAAGGGGGTAAAAAGCACCCTGTTCAAATTCGCTGATGACACTAAGAGAAGTAAAACCTCAGCTCTAATTCATGTCTGGCAGGTGTTCCAGAGAGCCCAGGTTTAGGGTATGAATTAACTTTGAGGAGATGTTTTTAAGTTTTTAAGACAGTCAGGAGGTTGGGGGCAACGGCTTTAGTAGAAGCCTCAGCTAGCTCAGCAAGTACAACGCTCTAAAGTCCTTTCTCTAAAATCCAAGGAACTAGATTCACTGTAAGCTCTTTACAGAAGAATAAACGGGACACAAAAGCTGCTGCAGGGCTATTTCCAAGGCCTGAATAGTCCCACCAGATAATATAGCACATAGCAAAGTTATTGGGAGGAAATCCAGGAGGAGACTGAGATATCTGTGCACTGCATTCCTGAACATTCTGGACTTAATTAAATAATAAAACACAGTACATCTCAGAGAGCTAAGCACAGATGAAGCAAAGTCAACTCTCACTTAAGAGACTTTTAAGGGCCACCTAGGTTTTGAAATATTGTTGGCAGCTTGGTAGGTATCACTCCGCCTTCTGAGTCAGCTCAAAACCAAAACATTCCAACCTGGTTTTACATGGGCTTGAAGTTATTTTACTACAGCCTCTTTCAGACAAGACAAAAACTGAAGGGTCTTGATCACTTGTGGCAGCTGAGGCCCCTGACAGATATTAAAACAACAGTGTGACTGGGATAAAAAAACCCATATGGCCCATCCCAAACATCACACCTTCTACCTGCCAGATGTGCATGGCAGAAGACATGACAGGGCATGAAATTCCTCTGATCACAATCATGCCACTGAGTTGCTGTCCCAGTGGAGGGAGGGGGACACTCTAAACCACACCCAGGGCTGTCTCTAGCCCGTAGCAAGTACCAAACTCAGAGCCCAGCCCTGGGTAGTCCCTGGACTGGTTTGAGACCTGGGGCTGTCCAGGGCAGGTATGACAATCAGCTGACTGTCTGACCCAGCCCTGTCTGGGACCAGGTCCAACAATCATCTGACTGTTCCTCCATCCCTGGGTTCACGTGCTCTCCTGCCATCCCAGGATCCACGTGTAGGTACCTACTGAAATTAGGGAGGCACGCAGGCAATTTTGCAGTCCAAGATGGTGGTGCCCACTGCCTTTTTCATAGTTTTTCACAGCAAGGGCCCCCACCCCCATGCTGCTGACTGACTGACAGAGCTGCCCTTCAGGCGGTACCATCCCTCACTGTTGACTGGTGGAGAAGGGTGGGACCACATGACAGCCAGCCCTCTCAGCCAATCAGCAATGGAGGGAGGAGAGGGCAGCCACCATCTTGGCTCCCTTTCTGTGTTCCAGCAGCAGTGAGAACTGCTGGGTCCCATGGAGAGCCAGCATTTTATTTTCAGGATTTTTTTTTCCCAGCAGTTCCACTGAAAATCATGGGGAAGGCCACTTTTCACAGAAACTGCCTCAAACTGCAGTTTCTGCAAGAACCACAAAATTGCGATTTGAGTAGATCTCTATCCATTTGCTCCAGGACATCTACAAATTGTGGTTATACCAGGTCCCTACAGCCTAGAACTTTAAAGCATCCTGCTCTTCAGCCCATGCAGGCTTGCAGAGCAAAGTAAGAAAGGCTGCTGGGCCTGGCAGCTGCCAGGCCCCTGGCAAACAGAGAAACCCTTGACTCTCCACACTGGAGAACCTCACAACCACCAGCCCATTTTTTACATCAACATGGAGGCTTTCCTGGCCCTGATGTTAACTCCTTTCCCCAAGCTGATGCCAACAATCGGTCAATTCTCAGCATTGATATGAGGGTGATAAACATTCAATTTATGTTACCATACAAACAAGCCACAAAGATGTTTTACATATTTTGTGGAATACCTTTGTGATTTGTTTACCATTTTATGGCACCATAAATCAGCTGAATGTGTAGCACTGTTATTATTTATGGTGAAATTAACATGTTAATCACCCCATAAATCTAAAGTATGCCATGGGTTTGAGGTTCACAAACTCTTTTTAAGAGCAAGTGTTGATCTGATGCCCAAGGGAAATTTCTACTTAGCAGTTACTTTCCTAAACTCCTCCAGTTTTAAAAGTATATTGTATTCTCTACTTTCTGCTCTGCAAAATGTTAGTATACACAGTAAGACAGCTGTTGCGTTCCACTCCAGTGGTGGATGAATTTCAATGGCGGATGAAGTGATCCAGTTCTATCTGTACCTATCTCACAGGGGTGTTGTGAAGCTTAATTGTTTGCAAACCTATTGGCTGAAAAGCACTATAGAAGTATTTTTATTAATCTGAATGTAGTCATGCTCAGTAGAACACTGCAAGACAGAGAACTTCAAAATTCTATAGTCACAAGCTATTGTCTTAGCCCTGCTGTTATACTGTAATGTACTCTATTTACACTTAAATGCTCCTGCATGCTCCTTGAGGACAGGAATCTGATTATCTTAACTGTTCATAATATTTTAACAACTAAAAAGTCAAAGTGAAAACTCAATTCCCCATTTCACTAGTCATATGCAACATATGCCAATCCTGATTCTAAAACTTCTCTCTAACTTAGCAGCACTGAAGGCATTTATTTGAAACACTTATCCATAGAATTTTGTTTTTAACTTTTAATTGAGGAAATTAGGGTGACACATGTACAAATGTTGCCTAGGCTTTTCAAGTAGGTTAGATGTACAACTCTGCATAATAACACAGCAAGCAAGGATATAACCATGAATACCAATTTATAAATTTGCAACAAAGCAGGGTTTTCACTACAGAAGGTAGGTAATGAGATTCCTTTTTTGGAAGAAAAATTGAAATATTATGTTCCTTCTTCATAACAATTGTTCAGCTAAAATATATTACAAGTTTAAAAAAAATCAGAATGTGGAGAATGCCTTGGACTAACACCTTCTTTAGCTTTAATCACAAATAATTGCCTCTTCTTGTACTAATGAGCAGTGCAAAATGGAATGTAATTTAGACAATTCATTCAGGGTAATAGCTTTGTGAGCTAATATTACTGCAGAGAGATCTAGTCTCAATTTCCTGGAGTACAATAACAGAGCAGCAGTAAGTTCTTCACTTCAGGGAGCTTTTCTAGCCTATGTAAATATAAATAGAAATCCCATTATCTATTGATAAAAATAACAAAGCAGGTTAAATAAAGTTTTATATGTTACTGTTTCCCATAACAACCATCAGCTCCCTGGATCATGAATGTAAATAAAGCACTTCACTTACTGAAATCAATGAGAAACCTTCCAAATCCTTGCCTTTGGTATTGGGGCATGATCATTATGCAGGAGACATTGTACTTCTGCTGGCAAAGCTTTTCCTGAGGGAAGGAGAAACAGATCAAGTATGTCAAAGCACTGCTGAAGTGGGCAATTCCCTGCACCTGCCACTGTCCTTGTAAAATACTCCAGTAAGGTGAACAGATATATCTGGTCAATACCAAAACAGAATAATTCTATGGTATTAATTAATTATAAGAGAGAAGCATCAGTCAAATGCACCCTCTAATTTTTTTTTATTAACTGACTAGTCAGCACCTTAAAAAGTAAACATAAATACCTAAGGAATTGCATAAACAGCATAATGAAGGTTAAGTGCAGCATGGGGGAAAAATTCTTTTCATGCTTCACTGGCTTTTCTGTCAGGGATATAAAAAGGGGAAAATAATATCCACATACTCACTGAAGACAGCAAGTTGGGCTTGCAGCAATTGTTAGATAACTTACTGCTGCCTCTCACCTGAGCAAATATATCTAACACTAGCGCAATTGTTTAACTAAAGTGATATTTGAAGCATGTGCAGCTTTTTTCAAGCCAAATGCATTCTCCCCTGAATACAAAGTGAAGGCAAAATAGTTGGGCCATCAGAACCCTGCAACTCTGACAAAAAAATCACATAACCACAAACGCAATAGAAGCAAAGATTACACTGACTGCATAAGACAAAGGAAAAAGAGGGGATAAACAAAACTAGGAAGCAGTTCTTGTAATATAGGCCAAAGGATTTTTGGCTTTCGTGGTTTAACAACTGAATGCAATAAAGAGGCAGTAACATTCTAAAAGAAACTGTCCAAATTCGACACACCACAGTTCTAAAGCAGGCCTTGTGCTGCATTTAACAATACTACAGTTAACTTTAATTGACCATTTGAATGAAGCTAACTTCATGAAAGACAAGTCAAACTAGTGAAATCCAGGTAGGCAGATTCTACAAAAAGCTGCAGGAACAACAGAATTAGTAGGAAGCTACTTAAGGTAGCCACACCTAAGGAGATACCAAATAGCACATCCCAGCAGGCCCACTTCAAACCATTCTCCTGTGGCTCTGAAATCTGACTACCCCTTGGCTATATTTCACAAAAAACATTTACCAGCTCCTGCAATAATTTATAGAGATAGTGCAGTTTATGACCCCAGCTTCTTAAGCTGACAGTCCTGGAATATACTTCTGAGCATTTTTTTTTGTACCCACCACAAAAGATTCAGGGATAGTTTACCAATAAAAAACGGCATTTGCTACTTTAGACACGACCCCTTTCATGCAAGCATTCAATGCATGTTTGACTTTGATGCTCAAGCACTTTCCTGAATCAGTGCCAGGGACAACATTTGGGATGATAAACATAACAATGGACAGAGACTAAGTAAGCTGTTGAGAGTAATGGGCCAAAATATAGGTGGGGTGGGAAACAGAACAACAAATTTCAGTCTTCATCTGGAATGCTAACATTTCTTGCCTACTAAAGTTGTACCATATTCATTTACGTACCACACATACCCTTTCCCCAAAAATCAGCCCTCCGAAATTGGAGTGCACATCTTAAACAGGGAAGCTGATTTTTTTTTGCTGGAACAGAAGCAGGGAGGAATAGAAGCATGCATATACGGTGCTCAAACAGATACCAAAATGGCTCAAGCTTCTCTCAGGCCCAGCAAACAGAAGGAGAAGAGTCCAGTGTTAAGTCTTGCACAGCTGCTAAGGAATTTGCTGTAACTATTGATTGAGCACATCAGCTTGTGCCTGAAGCAGCAAGTAACCTGCCCTACATTGTCTTAGCTAGTCTTTGATGAGGCTTGTGGTGTGGAAACAACAGTATTTTTTACAGGAACTTTCATAAAGGACTGTTTACAATGAAGTAGTTAACAGTCTTGCTACGGCCCTTGCAATGGCTAGGAGTCAGCTTTGCTGAGGATCTAAAATACAGGAACCTCTTACTGATTCACATAGTCTGTCTCCTAGGATGCCATGCTTCCTGGAAACTATGTTTCCAGAAGGACTTACTCAGTCACAGTCGCCTATGACAAATCTTTTTTTTTTTTTTGACATTCCACTTTCCAAAGATAAGGTGCATATCTTTTGGGATGCAAGGGCATGTGGTATGCAAGAAAATATGGTAAAAATCTTTTTAAGAACCATATCTGGAGAGAACTGAATCAATCCAAAAGCACCTCAGTACAGGTGCTACTTTGATTATTCAGATGATTTCTTTAAAAATAATTCTATTCAGCTGGATCACATCTGGCTGAGAACAATTTTCAGGGGGAATTAAAAAAAAAAAATCACCTGATTTTCAAAGTTTTGATGATATTAAATATTACATAGAAGCCATATGTGTGCCAAGACACAAACTTCTTATTTAAAAGTTGACAGAAACCAACTTAAGCTTCTTCTAATTCCAAACAACTCAACTTGTACCTTACAAATAATTTTAAAATAGCCCTTATCAAGGAAATACAGTGAACATCACATTCTCTGTAAGAGGGATTGTTTTAGAAATCAAAGCAATGCTATGAATTGATAAGATATATACTATAAAATTTAGTAATTTTGGACTAGGTTGTCAAAACTTTGATGTGTAAAAAAATGCATTAAAATCAAGAGCGTGTCTGTGTGTGTGTAAGAATGCACTCAGCCAGTTATCAGCTATAAGCCTATTGACAAATGCATACATTCCGCATCCCTAGAACTATTGGAATTCAGATCTGGCATATTTAACCAGAAACAGCCAAGGAAAAAAATAAGGGGGGGGGGGTGTCACCTGGAGGGAACTGTGTCACACCATCTAATTATAATCACCAGAAGACCTGTAAAACAGATTTAACTGAATATATGCATAATTTCTCAGTTCATATCAATTTTTGGTGTAAAAAGATATTTTTAGTGGTCGTTAGTGGAATAGATATTTGTTTGAGGCTTACTAAAAGTTTTTGAAAATGTGAAATCCTAAGCAATTTGAAAAGCCAATGAAAAAACACAAGTACTTTATGCAATTAGCTTTATAGTAGTTAAAACATTTACATGTAACTTAACATGAGTAAAGGAGATACTGTTTTACCTTAGAAAAATATCCAACTAAGTGGCAGCCTTTTTCATCGTTTTTTGTGAGAACATAGAAGAGGAATGGCTCAACATCATAATACAAGGTTTTGTGGTCCAGAAAGAGCTTGGCTAGCAAGCAAAGATTTTGGCAATAAATTTTGCTCACATTTCCATCAACCTAAAAAGGATAAATAATGTTACATATATAACACATCACAACCTTTTTTAGCATAACATTGTGTGTTATACCTACTAGAATACTTATTAAAACAAAATACAACCCCTCTTGACATTAAAGAAAAAAGTAGTTTAACTTTGGAATAGAAATCCCTTGACTTCCAAGATGGAAAATTCTGCTATTAGAGCTAATTGTTTTGAATTAGTAAAGATCTTCAAAAGATCTCTGTGTCAAACAAGCAAGATAATTTTACCTGGTAATTGTTCCAGTTAGACATTGTTACATCTTTCATTTATTCTCCTTTAATCAGAGAGAGATGAACAGCAGACATTGAAAATATACCATTACAATAACTAACTTAAGTTCTGGATCACTGCAGAAAGGGTTGCCAGCAACAGTAGTACAGAATATGTGGAATTATTCAGAATCCCTGAAATGTGTGGCTAACAAATGGGTTGCCACTTTATAGGTTATAAGTAGCTACTATCAAATTGCCCATCAAGAATGACGGCAGGGACGGGGGTATGGACGGGAGAGGGGCGAGGTCAGTGCTGCGCTGCCACCACCCCACGATGCTGCCGCCTCCAAGGAGCAGGGCCGGGGGGGAGGAGGTAGGGGGAGGCCAGTGCTCTGCCCCCTCTGTCATGGCAGCACTCCGTCATAGCCATCCCACCACATTTCCTCTGCCACCACCCCATGCCACTACCACCTCCAAGGAGCACAGCCAGGGGGGAGGGTAGGGGACGGGGTGAGGCCAGGAGTGTGGCCTTGTCCCCCCGCTCCAACCCCACTGTCATGGTGGCACTCTATCCCCACCGTCATTCTCCCTCCCCGCCCCCCCCACTCTGTTCCCTCCATCATATTCTTGATGGGCAATTCGCCCTGCACACAGCACTGGCTGGAGCCTCGCTCCACTGGGAGCCCCGCCTCCAAAAAGTGTTCCAGACAGACACACAGACAGATGGACTAAGTCCTTTCTATATAGATAATAAGAGAAGATAAAAATTCTGTGCTAGGGTAAGGGTGCTTCTGGGTGAGAAAAAAAATATTTTTATGCTAAGCACCATAATTAATCTATGTCTGCTGTGAGTATGTGAGTTCTGATTTTGATGGCTGCAGCTAGGCCAAGCACAAATATCTATTTTTTAAGCCACAAACAGTTACTCCTTGAAACAGGAGGCGGCCAAGAGACAGCTTTCCAACACAGTTTTACAAATTGCTGACCTAGGAGTCCATGGCACAATACCAAAAGAAACTAAATAAACCCTTAAAAGACACTACCTCTGGAAGCACAAGATAGGATAAATCCTTCCATCTTCCTAGGAGTCCTGGCCAGGCAACTTTTACTTATTGCCCAAGATCCACAAACCTGGTAATCCAAGATATCACACTGACTCTAATGGATGAAGTTGCTGGCTACATTGACCCAACCCTATTCCCATATGCCACAGGAGCTGCCAGTTATATGAAAGATACCACAGATTTCCCAAAGAAACTAACTTCCAGCTACTACCATATTAGCTACCATGGATGTCACATCTCTGTACACTAACATCTCCAATGACAACAAATTATAAGCCATAAAGAATATTATCCCCGACAAGGACACTGCTTCTTTTACCACTGCATTCTCCTGTTTTCTCCTCACACCTCCATTCAGATTCAAGGACTCCCTATACCTACAAATGAACATGACTGTCTATACACATGTATGCCCCCACCTCCCCAGTGCAATATGTTGATATATTTACAACAGACACTGAATTTTGCTTTGTCCACCCACAGCTGTCCTCTGATTGCTTGGTATACCTAAAGTACACTGACAACATCTTCATTATATGGTCATATGGAAAGGAATCTCTAGAAAAAATCCACCAGGACTTTAACAAATGTCACCCCTCCACCAGACTGACTCTGGAATATTCCAGAACTTTACAACAGCTATATCACCACCACCCTGTAATCAGAAAACAACTAACCATCATAGCTACAGCAGGTTAACTACTTTGTTTTTCTCTCTCCTGCCCACCCTATCCCACCCAGCACCTCCCCTTCATTCTTATTCCACCTGCCCTATCCTTTGTGTTCTAATCACTGCTTTCCATTTAGAAACTCTGCTTCTGCAGTCCCATCAGAGCATCTGATGAAGTAAGTTGCTGCTTATAAAAACTTATACCCCTCTGATTTCATTAAGGTGTGATTTAGTATAAGGTGCACATCTACCCTGTCTTCTGCCTGACTTAAGACTAACACGGCTAATTATTTCTCTTTGTTCAAGGAAAGAGCAGTCAATGCAAGCAGGAGACATTTCCCTATATTCTTCTTAAAGATAAATTCTTACTTACAACTAGAATTCTTTGCTGATGGGAATATTTATCTTTTATTTACACAGCAAGCATGGCTGTGAACAGAACTAGGAAACAATCCATTCTAATCCACTTCCAAGGACAACTCCTGGTCGGGTTTGGGCAAACTCCAGCTTTACCTGTTTTTAAACATATACCATTTTTGCTAACTCACTGGGGCACAGAATTGACTTTGGCTAGGACAGACATTCAAAAAGCCTGAGCCTGAATTGATTCACTCTTTGCTAGTCTAAGTTGCGCAGCTTGAACTGATTAAGAACTGGACATACATTCTCTGTTAAATCAGGAAATGCAGCTACATATCTGCAGTGGCACAAGACAGAAGCTTGGGGGCACTAGAGCACGCCTGGCAGCCACTGGCAAAGGGGAGGGAAGAGAGACACCCTCCAAGGCTCTCACCCCTCCCTGCTGGAGTGGAGAGAGCATGGCCAGGCACCAGCCAGGGCTAGCACAATACACGGGATGCCAGCCACCAGCTTGGGGAGGGTGGGGGGCAGCTGCTGCCAGACTCAGGAGTGGGGATGGGGAAAAAGTCTTTTCTCTGAAGCAAGCACGTATTGGACACAACAATTTGCAAAGCATATAATAGGGAACTACCAAAAATCTATGCCTAAGCTAAGATACAGTCCAGTAAAACATAGCATACGCAACTTAGTCTAACTGAAAATGTAAACCAGGAAGACAAGAATTAGTTTTACTAATCCTGATGACAGAGTGTCCCGTTACAGCCAGGCTTTCAGAAAGGCTTTGTTTAAGTATTCCCGCCTCATATTCTGCTTTATAATGTAAATGTAGCTCTCTGCATTCTTTGGTGATGCTGCCTGCAACTTCCCTTAACTACATCTCCAGCATGTGTAATGATCGTCAGGTCTTTGCCAACACTTCCCAATTCTCAGTCTGGTCCTGCAGGTCTTAGCTCTGGGCTCACAGGTACATCCCTGCCTGGCTGCAGGCAAGCCACAGAGACTGCAGCCAACCCCCAGGGGTTTTGTGGGGGAGAAGGAACAGAGGAAGAAATTAACTCAGTCCCTGTCTGGCTGCAGGCAAGCTGTGGACGTGTGGCTGGTGCTGGCAAACCTCAGCTGCAGTCCCCAAGGTTTGCCAGCAGAGGGGGTAGGGAAAGGGACAGAGGGAGGAATTTGCCTCAGGAGCCATGGCAGGCCCGCATCTGGCCACACCTTGCCCCTGCTCTGGCTAGAGAGCAGAGTGGAGGGAATAGCCCAGCTCACAGGAGCAGAGCTCCATCCAGGCCAGAGAGCATGCTGGGAGAGTCTGATTTAACTTAAACCAGCAAGGGGTTTAGAGCAGACATTGTATAAACTGGTTTGAGCCAAATCAATTAAGTCTGATACTGCATTCAACCAGGTTTATCTCAAACCGATTCAGTCATTTTCAAACTGGTTTATGTGCACTGAACGTCTGTTCTGTTACAGGTTTAAACCAGTTTCTGATCACTTAAACTGGTTTATGTGCAATGTCTGTCCCTAGCCTTTGGATGGATTAAGTACTAACTTGGACATAAAAAACGCTACTTAAGGGTTAACAAGTACCGCTACAAACATTAGAACAAATCATGTCACATACAGCACTTGAGAACTTAATCAACTATTTAAACATTCTTGCAATTGCTTCTTTTGTACAAACCTGGAGATGTTGTTCTTTTTATCTATATGCAAGTAAATGATAACATCAGCTAGTCCTAATACTGTGCTGTTTTAATGGGCGACTTCCAGACAATAAAAGAAATTATACCACAAGTACTTTGTTCAACTGTTCAGAAGCAAAAAGGGACTACATCTCAGTTGGAGGCAGCCACCAATAGTTTCCTGACTGTTTAAGCAGTGGCTCTTAGGCTTTTAAGCTCGAGGCATCCCTCAAGAAACACAAGGCATCCTTTCTAAAATGGCAGCTCTCTGTTTTCACTTGTTTTCTGACTACAGATATGTAATACAATGTTTCTACTGTTGCAAAAAATTCAGATGGACCACAGCAGGGCAGAAGTGTTTTGACACTTATGGATTCCTCTTTGAAATCTCTGGGTTTATCTGGTGAATCGTGGTTGTACATCTAACAGCACTAACATTTCATGGCATCGCTGCGAGACCCATGAAAGGATCTCAAGGCAACCCAGGGTGCTGTGGCATTCTGATTGAGAACCACTGTATTAAGAATTATGACATCAAACTCCTTTTAGATCTATCGGGGTTCTGCAATGGATGGAGGGCCCCTAAACACAACATGTTCTTGGTGCATCTTCTGTTTGTTGGAGAAACAGGAGTAAAGCAGTCCATTCCTTTCACTGTCCTGCCAAAAAAGAATGAATGGGTGCAGTCTGTAGGAATCCTACCACTTCATCATTAAGCACCCGCAGTTCTCTAAATTAGAACTAATGGCCCTAGCCAACACTCCAACCAAAGTGGGGAGAATTATTCTTTAGGCATCTCAGTAACTCCTTTCCAAGTCCCACTTAAATGTAACGGTAAAAAAAAAAAAAAAATCTAAGAGTCCAGATTTTCCTTTCTCTACATTTTCCTTTCCAGGGCTCTTTTACAAATTGCTCTGAAAAAGACTGCTATAAAGAACATAAAGAATGAAGTTAAGTTTTAATTTATGGGCTGGCACTTGCTATTAGGTTAGCACTATGTAACAGGATAGCAAGATTCCCCTGTCACCTTACTCTTTTAGCAGGTGTTCAAAGAAGGCAGAGACTAAAAAACTACTCATGACTCACTGAAACAAGAGTGGCTGCTTATACTCAGGGAAGTCTAATTTTTATCATGCACTTAAAAGGTCTGCTGGCACTTTATGTCTATGAGAAGAGGGAGGAACATCCCCTGACCAACAAAGTTCTATGCCTGCCAAAGCCCTGCTATACAGACCATTATACCAGGAAATAAGTTCTTCTGCAGATAAAATTTGTGTCCTTCAAGGAAGTAAATTTTAGTATAAAAAGGCCATAAAGACAGTGGAACTAGTTCTCCAACATGGGGAAGTAGGGTGTGGTGCAAACATATTGTGGGAAAGCATAAGAAAAGCAAAACCTGGGAATAAAGGCTTTGGCTAGGGTTGAGGTAATGTTAAACTGGAATTCTTTTGGTTATAATTACCAAACCAGTGACTGACTCTAGACCAAGTCCTAATGTTCTGCTCATAGCTGGAACAAACACAAACATCTGGCTAGACAAGAAAGGCAGTCATTCGTGCAATATGAAAATGCCAGGTCTGAGCAGCCTGTGATATCTGTGGTACTTTCATGATGAGTGTGGTGTAAAAACACTTTCAGAATTTCTGTACAGAAATATTTGTGCTATTTCTTTGGAAAGAAGGCCCAGGATACTGGGCAGTCCTTTCTGCTAGTAATGTCTCTATCAATGTTTAAGAAATAGGAATAAGTAGGTTAAGGTAGTTGGTGCAGCTGTTAAACTTGCAGACACAAAGCTTGGAATATGGAATATAGAATATTAGTTAAGTTCAGGGGTCTTTGCAAAGCAAAGTCATGTGGTCAACAGCCCTTAAGAGGTTAATAATAAAAAGATCACAAAGGAGAAAACCCTACTTGCTTAACTTTTGAACTAACAAAATTAAAAGCTGCTTACTTTAGTCAGAGTCTCAACACACTGTGGGGTTAATATAGAAAAACAAAAGGCCTGACTTGGGACCTCAACACTCAAGTGGTTATAGAGCTATTTCTCAAACCATCTGAAGGAGGAATAATTTTAGTTTCAAGATTTAATACACTTGGTACCCCAAGTCCACATGTATAAAACTTCAGTGAAAGGAAAAGAAGAAAGTGTTTTCTTTGCATTGTCTATATTCCCCCCCAAAAACATACTATTTTTCCTATCTCCCAAGAAAAATTAAAGACAGCCAAAAATGAATAATTGAGTGAGAGGAAGTAAGGCTTTACCCTGACCAGAAGGAGAAAAACATGCAGTTAGCAAGTTACCATTTTCAACCTACATCTAAAAGCTGCTTGCACAAGAAAGATAGAAAACTCTTTGGTTCTGCATGATTTATGAATACACCAGATACAAAGGTGGGAAAACTAACCTTTGAGGAAGAAAAAAAAGACTTACTTTTGGAGCAAAATATTAATCTTGGATTAATTATCTTAATTTTTCTTTTTTACTTTGATTGGCATAGATCAACTAATACAAATACCTTTCTTTTTTGGAAAACATCTGGATTTTAATATACTTACCTCAAACACTGAAAGGTCATTTCTTCGATAGATTTCATTAGCTGGGGGGTGGTACCAACCACACTTCTTTGAATGCCTTAGCAAAATGTTTTTACTTTTCATATATTTAAGACAAAATTCACACAGGTAAAGCTTTGGTAGTCTGTTGAAGTATAAAGGTTATAAAGAATTTATTAATTTTAACAAAAAAATACACATGCCTCCAGCCCACTAATTTAAAAAAATCATCAGAACATATCTGAAGTAAACGGTATTTCTTCTTGCCCTAATTATGTATTATATGGAGAAAGATTAAAAACATGCATATCCATCCTTTGTTGGGAAGCACAGGAAAACTGATTTAAACTATTACCTTAAAAACACAACAATGGGGGCTTTGGTACAGTATTGATTCAACTGGGTCAACCTATGGGTATAAGTTTTTTGTTGCTTCATTAGATCATATACCTTTTCTTACCCTAATTTCTATGAGATCTCCTTGTCTATGCCATATTGCCACTTACTGACATACAGAAATTTCTAGCATTTGTCCTAGCATTATTAATGCATTTGATGGCTACACAAAGATAGTAACAATGGTTTACTCCTTTTAACCCTTACAAGTATTTCAGTGAATTCACATCTACTCCTCCCTCCATATCATTTAGTAATACGCACATACTGGGCTTTTAATTTTTCCTTGTAAATCACCCAGAATATTGTTAGTCATTTTTGTTGTTTCTCTCTGTACTTGCATCTATTTGGTAAATAAATTGAACACGGTATTTCTAGGGGCTGTTTGCTAACAACTACAGAGAAGAGCTATCAGTTGGCATGCCTTTGCATAGGCAGCCAAGAATCACATTGCCTAGTTCTGATGCCATCCTACTGTCATGAACATATTACCCACTATTATCCAGACCCCCTTAAGAGATTAAATTATTTGGCAAGTTAGAGCTTTCAACACAGTAAAAATTGAGAAAACTTACAGATGAATGAATATATTATTACTATAAAAACCCAATAGTTAACACAAGTGAAAATGATCTACCCTCTGTGCTTTGTTTGCCCTTTATTTCAGTATAACACACTCCTGGCATATTCCTTAATTTCCAGTGAAAACAATGTATCATCTACAGGTGAGGCAAAAGGAAGATATTGTTTATGGCATGTTTATACCATGTGCAAGATTTAAAAAATGCTAGTGAATTAGAAGTTTGGGGATTTACTTGAATGTATGCATAAAATTAAATTTAATCTGAAATACCGTGAAACAACAAGGTAAAACCCTCTTTCTTCTCCATTACATAATATCATTCAATAGACCTGGTAACCGTAGTACCTTGCATATTCCTGCGGGTAAGGCGAAGAGTACCATGTCTGGATCTCAAACTTTCCAAATTCAATCGCAGAAGGGTACCGTCCTGTTGTTTCACCAGTATTTTTACACCCAATTTTCTGTCAGGTATAACAAAAACAAAGGCATATTATAACAACATATGAAAGAAGAATCATTGTGCACCTTCAGTTTGACTCGTTTAAAACTAAAACGGCTTCAAGTCTCTCAGGTTTTTCACTGTCCAAAGTTTTTGGAAATCAACAGATACAATGCTATATAACCCAGACATGCAGAAAATAAGCCAAAATATGTGCGCAGCAGTAAGTCTGCCTGTAACCTCCACTCTTCCGGAAGTGGGGCTCAGCTAGGATTGACAGAGGATGGACCCGACCTAACAGGGGTATGTTCATTCAATCTCATTGACGGCCTCTGCCAAGAGAGTCTTGGCTCACATTCTGTGATGTCCTCCAGTCTCCAAAAGGTGATGAATGGTGACAAAAGGGAGTACTTGCCTTCCCCAAAAATGGATTAACCTCTCTTGCAAGCATATATCCTGAATGCAGAGGGTCCCATTTGGTACTTCTACTACTCACTGGATGTTAAAGTAAGTTAGTTCCAAGAGAAGTAAGAGTTGTTCCCTTGGTAGCTAGATTCCTTAGATAAGGTTGATGCAGGAAGATAGCAAGGATCATCTTGATCAAATCAAATAAACTTATAAAAAGTTTACACTGCTGCACTGTGGGATGGTTGGAAATCATTCTGTGCAAGAGAAGTAACTAGCAGGAAACAAGAAAAAAGAAAAGGCTCAAAAGCCAAACTCACACTAGGCAAACTCACAGGACCAAGAGATCATGCCTAACTCAAAAGTTAAAGCCCCGTACCAAGCACAATATCAGGCCCTGCACTTCACAGTTTCGTAGTTTCTAGGGTCGGAAGGGACCTGAGCAGATCATCTAGTCCGACCCCCTGCCATGGGAGGAAAGAGTACTGGGGTCAAACGACCCCAGTAAGATG